ACTAAAGTAACGAGACAATTTTTTAAAATGTAAGGAGTAGAAAGTACAGATATTTGTGTAACAATGTAAGGAGTAGAAGTAAAAAGTCGCCATAAAAATAAGTAATAAAGTAAAGTAAAAATATCTGAAAAATCTACTTGAGTACAGTAATGAAGTATTTGTACTTCGTTACTTCCCATCTCTGATAGCTGGAGAGCATCAGCTGGTGTTAGCAAGAGAACGGGGCTAACGTCGATCCTATCTTAAGTCTTGTTGGAAACTAATTGAAGCTACAAGTTGTTAGAATTGCAGCTAGATATAAAGTGGAAATATACTAGAAAGCTTACACACATGCAACTTTATAGGCCTGAATTGATAAAAGACTTGGTTCATCTTTAAAAGCTGCAAAGCATAAACAAATAGACACGTTATTCCACAAACCTTTAGCCATCATCCAAATTATGGCATATTTTCTACTGACAATATATGAAGCAGTGCACTGCCCCCTATAGGAGTGTGCCAGTCTTTATAACACCTATAGTAATCTGGCATTTAGTGCTCATTGTTTAATCTGCAACGTAATTTTTATATGGCAAGAGCCTCAGTGCTGGTGTCTGTAACCATTTATTTAAAGAGTTATGGTATGGTTCAATTTGAGGGTCATCTCTTTAGAGGATGCTTTACTATTGTGGATCCAAAGAGCTGGGAGGAGATGCGATGTCTGACTCTTTGATAGTATGTCACAACTTCCTCCAAGCTTGACCACAGTGAGTCCTCTCATAAACGTAGAATACATTTAGGCTAAACTTAAGGAATACAGGTGGGAGTGTTTGCGGTTATGTAGCACATTATTGAAGTTATTTCTGCACTTTTTTAGGAAAAACTATTATCCCCAAAGCAATTGTAAAGTTAGAAGAAGTCCTGTTGTTGTGCAAATCAGCCAATCAGATGTTTAGGCAAGGCAAGGCAAGTTTAGGTGTAAAACACATATCAGTATATAGACAATTCAAAGGGCTTTACATGCGTTAGACAATAAAATAGAATGGACCGGACCTTAGCAGAGAGCCATGAGCCGGTAAGGGGGCCGGTAAGGCAGGTGGGGGGAAGCAGGGGGCCGCCGGTGTCAAGGCTACCGTCACCGGGTCGGGTTTGGTCGCTCCGTCCCCTGCCGGCTCCCTGCCCCCGTCTGCCGGGGTTCTGGGACCGGCCCCGGAGCTGATGGCTCGGTTTGGGTGCCCGGTGTGTTTCAATTACATGCTGCACTGTAGTCGACCTAAATCCCGGACGATTTTTAAATTCCCCCTGGAATCGATTTCAAGGTGTATTTCAGTGGACATCCACACTAGCAAAAGATCAGCTGGGCTAAAGAACATACTTCCTCACAGCACAAGGACAGTCACAACCTGAACCATAAAGTGCAAACAATTTTCAATCCTACTTTCCAACAGACACCATGATAACTAACTTACTGCCTCATTTTTACATAAATTGGATGTTGATGTTTTAAAAGCCGAAAGCTTAGTTTTGCTAGCCTGACGTAGTCCTACTCAATTCTAGTCAGAATATGAGTCTTAATTTGCTGTCGATATCTTCTAGAACAGACCTAATAGCAGAATCTACACACCTCAACTCTCCAGCGTCAGCCATTGTTGTTGTCACCCAAGCGCGCTTTGGTCACGTGGTTGATTACGTTACTGTTGATCATCTGTCCATCATCGTATAAAGCCCGCCCTGACAATTTGATTGGCCCGCCATTTATTGTGCGAGCATACTGCGCTACTATTG